AATCGATTTTCTAAACCGAGCTCTATTTACCATCATATAGAGCAACACAACGTCCCGATCTCTTGATGTCTTTAGTCTGACTTTATTCTGCTGTTGATGTTCAGGGTTTTTTCTTCGAGGGCGTCCTCTCCGCTGCTTTCTCTGACAGCGACCAGTTCGTCTTCACTGGATCTCAGGACAGAACCGTCAAAGTGTGGGACGTCGCTACAGGTAAGTGTACTGATGCACCGGTGACGGACACGTTACCAAATAATGTCTGAACCACATTTACCTCCTCAGGGTTTTATGCCTCCACGAACCAGTCACGTTGCAGTTACAGTTTACATCCATGAGGAAATTCCCTCAGGGTCTTCTTGAGATATCATGTCCACAATAATTAGAAGAACACAAGGTCACAGCGACCTTGACCTTTGACCACCAAAATATAACCAGTTCATTGTTGAGCCCAAGAGGACTTTTGTGCCAAATTTGAGGAAATTCCTTCAAGGTCCTGAGATATCACATCCACGAGAATGAGAGTTTTCTTGAGACGTCACATTCATGAAAGAGCAAGAACAAGATGGAAACAAGGTCACAGTGACCTTGATCTTTGACCACCAAAATCTAATGAGTCCATTGTTAAATCCAAGTGAGTGTTTGTGCCAAATTTGAAGAATTTCCTCAAGGTGTTCTTAAGATATCATGTTCACAAGAATAAGACAAACAAGGTGACAGTGTCCTTGAACGTTGACCTGTTACCATCAAAATCCAGTTAATTCATTGTTGAGTCCAAGTGAACGTTTGTGCTAAATTTAAAGAAACTCCGTAATGGCGTTCTTTAGATATCACGTTCACGAGAATGGGATGGACAGACATCCCAAAACCATAACCTGTCTGTGTTGTCGGCGGTGTGGAGGCGTAAAAATAGGAAGAAACGTCTCCTCGGGTCACCAGCAGCTGCTCTGTCTCACTCCTGCTGTTAACCATCATTTGTGTTTAATAATTTTCCAGTTCACTGAGCAGATCTGTGGCTAAAATGTTCCTGCAGGCGGCCGTGCAGGACTGTGGTACACGGAGTCAAACTCACGTCGTCACTCAGCTGTTTGTATCTTCTCCCGTCAGGAAACCTGCTGTACGTTCAGTACGTCTACTCTCCCGTCGTCAGGATGGTGACCTATAGGAACGGCTTTGTGGCGCTGTCTCAGCACGGCTCCGTCATCAGGGAGGTCTTTCGCTGCCCGGACCACATCAGTCCAGACTACAACCCTCTGAGGAACGTCAAGGCCCAGTACCGGGTCACCTCCAGGGACAAGAAGAACCAGGACGGCCAGCAGAGCTCCGGCTCCGACCTCCAGGACTACAACCCGGCCCAGTTCAACCTGAACCTGATGAACATGCTCAGAACCAAACCCTCCTCCACCTGTCTCATACTGTAGGACACCGGGGCCCAAAGCGGGGCCCCAGGACCTCCAGGGGCCTCCAGTCCCTACAGCAGGAGGTTTCAAAAGACAATAAGGAAAAATCTATTTTCATAGTAAATCAATTAATTCAGGGTTAATTTACACATTAACATGAATTTTATGTTATTTTTATATTGTGAAAAAATAATCTTTAGGTTTCTGTGATCCTCACTTTCACCAGAATTTAGTAAAACACTTTCTGCTGCTTGTCAAATGCAGCTGCTTTCATAGGACGCAGCAGCTGAGGGTACCAGCAACAACACATTTAAATAATTTAGTCATATTGTGACAAATGAATGTGAGTAATTTAAATAACGTTTAGTGTTCAGATGGACAGAGGTGGACTCTGCTGCAGGACTCTGTGAAGACACAAACAGTTCAGATCATCACTCCGTCCCAGACCTCAGGAGGTGAGTGTGTGATTCTTTATCGACAGATTTTCACTGAGATGTGTAAGTAGTTTAAAATGTGCACCGCGTGTCCTCCTGACTGCCACAGGTTCAGTTTGAATCATTCACCACTGAACTCTTTTATCTGCTGAAATAATCCAGCTAACCTTTTAGCGCCTGTGTCCACACCGAGGTTTTCCTCAGCAGAAAAGCGGTGGCAGGGCGCTGGGGAGCGCTTCATCTTATCGCTCTCTGCATATCTTGACACAAACATTAGCTAGGTAGCTGCAGCACGCAGCAAACCTCCACCAGCTCTCAAAGATGGAGAGAATTTGGCAGGAAGAATATAATTCGATTTTTTTATCACACCATGTACAAAATACAAACAATCAGTTGAACCACAGCACAGCTCACATATATTATGGTCATGTATGAAACTACAGACATTCTGGGATAGAGTTATTCTGATCTCTGAGGGAATTTTAGGTCACAAGATCCCAAGGACCCACGGATCACGTACTTGGGATCGATACCTGTGGATCAGGGGCGATTGCTCTAAGACAACAAGGGAGGCTGAACTTCCCCGAAAATTTCATAGAAGAAATGGTCAAATATGCACTATTGAATTTACATTACAATAAGAATTTACATTGCATTAAACGTGCGCTAGGATGCGTTTAACGTCACGACTATGATGTTCAAACGTCAGCTGTTTTTCAGCCTCCAGGCATTCCTATGAGACAGCAGGTTTGTTTCATGCAGCAAAGCGAGACAGTCATTGGATAAATGTGACAAAATCGTCACTTCCAGGGAGGCTCAGCTTCCCTGGGACCTGATGGAGCGGTAGGCGGGAGAGGACGCTCGGTGTCTGCGTGATGATTGGAGGAATTGTCTAAGAGGCTGAACCCCTTTGTGATTGACAGCGCTTTGGAAATACACACCAGCATTGTCGCATTTCAAGCTCAGCCTCATGCGGAAATTTGCGAGTGGAGTCTTCTGACAGAGTGCCGTCTGGAGTTCCTTACTTTCACCGTTTGTACACCGTTTAAACCCATCTGAGAATCTTTGAGGTGTGTGTTGCTGTGGTTTTATGGCATGAGTGTGGTTGAAGAACGGCTTCAATTAAATGTTCCTTTTGTAAGTTACTGCCTCCCTACAATGTGACAAATCTTACGATGTAAACGTAAAGTGAGCTTCCCCTGTTTGAAAGACCAGCAGCCACCACTGTTGTGCACTTAATTCATAAGAAGGACACTTATGTGTTCAAAATCCTTTTACTGGCATGCAAAGAGGTGATTACTAGGAACTGGCTAAAACGTGACCCTTGAAGTCCAGGGGTTGTATTCACAAAGCTTCCTCGTGCACAGAGTCGCTCATGGTGACAAAATTCTAAGAAAATTCTTAGAATTGTGACATTTTCTTAGAATTTCCCCTTAAAGTTAAGATGAGGTCCTCGTTAAGATAAAAGTTATTCACAAAGTGTCTTTTCTTAGGTGACAAACTGTTTGGGAGGAGGAGGAGGAGGAGGAGGAGTTTAAGAGTTTCTGAATCAGAGGAGAAAATGGTGGAAACACAAAGACACACTGTCCTCTCACCTGAGGACTAAAGCATCGACACACGTGCGATGCCGGGACAAATGGACAGACTATAAGAGCAGAGAGGTTTTGTTCAGTCAGCTGGTCTGAAGACATGCATCAGAGAGTTGTAAACTGAAGGCAGTGGTTCCCCCCGATGTTTTGTAAATTGAATAATTAAAAGATTAATGAATATACAAAATACATAAGCTAGGTAGCTAGCATAACGCTATGCTAACAGAGAGGTTACTACACAGTTAACAACAAGCTGACAAGGTGAACGATAATAAAAGCACCACACTTAAAAACCTCTAGCGTCCGATCTGCTCCCAAAAAACTGCTTTTCTGTCTTTGTTGAGACAGAGGGCAGTTGCCTCGCTAAAGGAGCAGCAGTGACGTCACCGACGCCTTTCTGAAAAATTCAAAGATTTTAAAGCAGAAGCGCACAGAGCGGCTGCACAGGAAAAAAAACAAAAACAAAAGATGCTGGGCGCAGCACTTTCTCTGTTGGTGGCCACATATGTTCTATCCTCACTGGGAACAGCAGTGAGAAAACAACTCTGTGGACACAGGCCTGTTAACCATTAAACTGCTTTTCACCATTTCTCTGTCCAGGATGTTTTGGGTGGGGCTTAAAGCCTACTCAATGACACAATGCAGCAACCCTTAGCATAAGCCCTGCCCCAACATTATTTTATTTATTTATTTATTTATTTATTTATTTATTTATGTACAGGGACAGTACGCCAGAGTTAGCTATAAGATGCTTTTCATCTGTCGTCCCTGGGCAGGAAACAGAGAATAATTCATCTGATTAAAGACTGTTATATAAAAACACGGGAACAAAATAGAACATATTCATGACACAACGGCTTCAGCAAAAACAACATCAAATCATCGCAACAATAAAAACAGCAACAATGATACAGCTACAACACTAAGATACAACATATATATGTATATATATAAACTAGAGCTGCTGAGTTTTGTTGTTTAATTGAATAAATATAAAAAGACCATTCTGCTGCAGACAGAGAAGAAGGAGGTTGACTTCAGGCAGGTCAGCGTCGTCTGGTGACTCAAACATGTTTGGCTGTAAAAATCACGCTAATAAACAGAGGCTGCAGCTGACTGACGGATTGATTGTAATATGGGTCGGTGCTTTAATGTACGCAGCCATGTTTTCAAATAAAGGCTTTTTAATTTAATTGAAATGCATCTGTTGCTGCTCCACACATGACGCCTGAAGTTCATCTTTTCCTCCCATGTGCCGACACTTCTCTTTAAGAGCACCTGCGTGTTTCTCATATGATAAAGGCGGTCCTCGAACACACCACTGACTCGTTCTTCAAATACTTAATACTTGGCGAATCATTCAGATTGAGCTGGGTGCTTAATAACACGTTCCTCTGTGATGTGACAAACTCCTTACACGTATTTGTTTTTGCTTACTCTGACTTTAAACAGTCAGTGTGTTGATTTAAAGGTTGAGTGTGACAGACTGCAGGTGTGTCCACCTGAGAGGAAACAGAAACGTGACCATAAACACAGAGAGCACAGAAAAGCTTTTCCTGTGAATCACAGTTTGTGTTGTGACTTTGAGTTAAACATTAACCAAACACCTGAAACACGGATCCTCACTCTGCTGATACGTTCAAGTTTTAACTCGACGTCTGAAGCTTCAGGTTTTTACTCTCTGTGATTCTTTACCGGGGTTTTTATTGTTTGTTTGTTTTTTACAGCGTTGTGTTTTCTCCTGTCAGAGCAGAGAAGAGAAGCAGCGATGGCAAAACTCTGTGCAGTGATTTCCTGTTTGTTGCTGAGTGTCGGAGCGGTGACGGCACAGACAGGTACGAGCTCCTCAAACTGCACCCACAATACAGACACTCTAACACTGGTTATATCAGTTATATAATGCTGCTCAGATTAAATTAATCCAAGGAAAATACGTCAGTGTTTCAGAACCACCAAGAGTTCTCATATATGATTAAAAATTTTTTATTAAATGTCAGAAAGTTTTGACTCCAGTTTTGCTCCTTTATATCAGTGGAAAATGAATCTTTGTGGAGTTTTTGTCTGTCAGCAAACAAAGATTTCAGTTTATCCTCTTTGAACTTTTAAATGCATTTTTCTTTACATTTTATAAAACATCTTTCTGATCAGCTGAAAACATTACTGATGATAAATATTATAAGTGTACAAGGAAGTAGCTTTTCAATTTCCTTGGGCCATTTAATGGAGACATGTTGTAATATGTACTCACCAGCCACTTTATTAGGTACACCTGTTCACCTGCTAGTTAACACACATATCTAATCAGCCAATCAGGTGTCAGCAGCTCATTAACATTTAGTCATGTAGACATGTTGAAGACGAGCTGCTGAAGTTCAAGCGGAGCATCAGAATGATGAAGAAAGGTGATTGAAGTGACTTTGAACGTGGCATGGTTGTTGGTGCCAGACGGGCTGTTCTGAGTATTTACTGGGATTTTCAGCACAACCATCTCTAGGGTTTACAGAGGATGGTCCCAAAAAGAGTAAATATCCAGTGAGCCAAAATGCCTTGTTGATGCCAGAGGTCAGAGGAGAATGGCCAGACTGGTTCAAGATGATAGAAAGGCAACAGGAAGTCAAATAAGCACTGGTTCCAACCAAGGTGTGCAGAAGAGCATCTCTGAAGCAACAACACCTTGTCCAACCTTGTTAATAACAAACAAACATATAAAACAGAGCAGACTTTGGATGACCTCTGACCTCTGTGTGTGTGTGTATTTGTTTGTATTGCAGCTCAGACTCAGACTGAGCAACTGCTGCCTCAGTGGCTCACCGGCATCATCGCCGTCGTTGCCTTCCTCTTCCTCACCTTTGTCGGCTTCCTGGTGAAGAAGGCCTGGTGTGAGGAGTCCAGCAGGTCAGTCGGGGGGGTGGGGGGCAGATTGTTTTCAGTTCATAAAATATAGCGCTGATATATAATCAGTCAACTGGACAGTTATTTATCTGACAGGAAATCCTGATTTTTATCCAGACCTCCGCAGACAAACAGTCGGCTACACTTCAGAGCTTTTCCTGGTAAAAGAGTTTGGAACTTTTGTGAACGCTGCTGCGCTGCTCAGTCAATCAATCAGCTTCACTCCTGAAAAGATATTTGACTCAGAAAGTAGTGACATCACCACCACGCTAAGTTAGTGATGTCGCTACTTGTAGTGACGCTGCTGTCTTTTTTTTTAATTGAATGCTGCTAGTGAAAAAAGGATTGCTGCGGCTTTTTATTGTTGCCAGGCAACCACCCCATCACCTCCTCACCCTAACCTCCCTGTGTGATCAGTCTACAGTTTGTGTATCCTGCAGTAATGAGTGTGTAGCTGCTGCCATGTTGAGGCAGAGGGTGCTGTCTGTAGCTCTGGTTGAGGGTGAGAGGCTGTCAGCAGATAAACAGAGATCTGTGTGGGTACATGAGACCCTAAAAAAGAGGCTGGATCATGGGGAGTACCACCAGTTGGTCCAGGAGCTTCTCCTCCATCATGGACGTTTACAGTACTGCACTTATCTGCTGTTTTCTATTGAGATGGTGCTAACTGTGCTTTGTAAAGTCGTATAGCTCTGGGTATCCAGCAACCACTACCACCAGTTTCTCCTCCATTGGTTACCAACTGTAAACTTGTTGTCGTGACCACCACAGAAGCCCCGCCTCTCAAATCATCCCATTGGACAATGGGGAAAAAAGCAGAGGTGACGTGGGGCGCTGTTCTGCTCTGAGTTGAAGTTTTTACAGCTTGAGGAGTTCAGAGCGCTCCGGCAAAAACGCCAGGCACCAATAGCGCCGACACTGGAGGCACATCGCGACACAGAAACAGCGAGCAGAAAGTCTCATTCTCATTAGAAACTGTCACAAAAAGCCGCCTCCAGCTGCTGAAACGGGTCCTACTCTGTCGACCACCTTCCACCACATTCAATTTTTCAAATTCTTCAAAAATCTTTCTAAATATTGATCAGTGATCGATTGCACATGACCTGTGTGATCAGCAGCCTGTGACCTCCAGGTCTGTACAATTACAGAGCAAACACTGTTTTACTGTATAGATTTTGTTTATGGTGTTTATGGAGGGTTTTTGCTGAGGAGACTCGTGACCTGATATTTTACAGACTAAATTATTTTTAATCAAGCCGTCCTGATAAAGTGCGTCTGTCTGCAGGAGGAAGACCACTGTGGAGTCTGTGGGAGAAAATGAAGTCGTCATGACCAACGGGAACACCTACGAGACGAGTCTGGACATGGTCAGGTAAGACCAACAACTTAGTACTTCTCTCTGTCAGTCTCACTTTAAAAACCTTCTTGCATCTGTCGTCACAAGTCGTCGTCACAAAGCTGAAAACAGGTTGTTTGTCTGATGTTTAGAGGTAAGTGTTCTCACAGGACAAACATATGATGACTTTATCGAATATGATGCATCCTTGTAGTGGAGTATTTTCACCCTGCGGTCGCAGTACTTTTACCAGCGCTGACTATAACCAGGTTTTTATAACAAAGTGTGTGTTTGTCGATCAGGAGCAAAGAAGACTTGAACGCTTACGACAACCTGGTGATCGACGACACTGAAGTCAAAGTCACCATCATGTGACCGCCCTGCTCTGATCCTGCTGTCTGAACATCGTCCTCATCACCACCTCTGGACGGAGACACAAACACACACAGTTATTTTTTACAGAAAAACATTTGCAGATAAAGTTTTATGTCTTTGTTTTGATGTACCTGTTGTCCCCGGCGGGCGGAGCTTACAGTGAGGAACATCAGATATCATCCATCCTCTGTTTTTATTGTATCTTCTTACAAATCATTTAGCACAAAGTGTGACCTTATTATACAGATTATTAATCATTTATTACTGTGACTGAGGCTTTAAAGGGCAACCTCTGTATTCTCAACCAGGACCCTGTTCTCCCATGTTTCTGCATCTGAGTATCCATGTGGAAGTTTTGAAACTGGTCCAGTACTGAAGGAGCGTGCTGCAGCTGTGAAACAGGCTGTAAAATAACCACTGGGGTCACGTTCACGGCGTCAGTGTACGTCCACTAAGTGTTTGTCTCTGCCGCTGACAGTCTCAGATTGTTTTTCGAATGCTGTGCTCACCTTAAACAAATTGTCTTGTTGCGTTACTCGCACGTATACGGCCTCTGGAGTGGTTTTTTGGGAGTATTTTGCAGCTGGTGAACAGTCACAGTCACAGCTGTGCTAACTAGCTGAGGAAGGCAGCTAACAGCTAACTTGGTTGCAGTAAAGTACACAAGTGAACTGGTGCAAAGTCACAGGCCTTAAACTCTGCGACTAAAGCCTGCGACTTTGCACCAGTCCGTCAGAACTGAAAGAAGCCTTTTGGATGAGAGGTGAAACATCCTCAAGAAACTTCAGCATGTCCAGTTGCCTGACACAGAACTTAGGAGTACCATGACCTGGATGACTGAGAATCTTCAGCTTCCTGTTGTTTATCTTCCACAGTAAGAGCCCAACTTAAATAACACACAGCAATCACAGATACGTATTTTCAGAACGTACCATGTCGTCCCACACCTCAAGTCCCGACGGGCCACAGTGTTTGTCCTCCATTTCTGATTCTCAGTAACGTCAGGAGAACCTCAACTAGATCTCAACACTGACACAGGTTTATGGGAATTTCTCACTCAAGTTTTAAAAAATTTCAACTTGTGCAAATCCAGTGCTGCAGGAATGAGTCCTATACCCTGGACATGAGTTAGCATGTTAGCATGTTAGCACTCCTGGTTCACTCATCTCAAAGTCCATGTGTTTCTGGTTAGATGTCTGACATCACATTTTGTTCTACCACATCAGTTTATATCAATTTAGAAGCTACGATGTGTCTTTAAAAAGACGAGTGCCAACAAGAGGCTAAATGAGACGACAGACCATCATCACGCTGAACACGACTTTACAGTCTTATGGTGGTGACGTTCAGTCACGTCATGTGACCGTGGTGTAGTTTGTTTATAGCCTTACGTTAACTTTTTACCTCTGGTGATTGAATTCAGGCTTCAGTGATCATTACAGAGGGGTTTATTTGTGAGGATTATCTCACTGAACACAACCTGTAAGTATCATAAACATTTGTTTGTCACAGAGTTTATTTTCTGCAGTAATCCAAAATTCAGTGGAAAATCCCGTTGGCTTTTTGAGGAGAGAACAAGGGTGATGCTAACTACAGGAAAACGTGATCCCTGGGGCACTCTGTAGGTAAATAGTGCAAATTCACATCTTTGCGTTGGCTTCATATGTAATCTCACCACATTTCGTTTAGTGTGAACGTACATAAGTGTCCTACCACATTATGAAAGGATCCCTACAGAGATAGAGCTTTGTGTTGAAGATAAAGATCCAGAAACAGCCCAGAAATCACCGTCACCAAACCCACCAGACTCCATTTAAATAAAGTCATGTTAGTGTGTATAGAGGCAGCATGTTGTCACATCTAACTGGTGAGTTAAGGGTTAATTTAAACCAAACCAGAGCTGGTGATTGTTGGAACAGTGGAAAGATGAACCAAGATGGTTTCTGTGAGTCTTACTTTGTAGATGAGGTGTGTCTCACAATGATAAAATTTGTGACAACATGCTGCCTCTATACACACTAACATGACTGTTTATTTAAATGAAGTCTGGTGGGTTTGGTGACGGTGATTTCAGGTCTGTTTCTGGTTAAACAAAAAGGATCTGACTCTTTAACACAAATCTCTGTCTCTGTCGGGATCCTTTCATCATGTTGTCAGACACTTACACTTGTGATTGTGTCAGTGTGCCTGATTGTGTGTGTGTCTCTGCTCGTGTCGCTCACTCTCCGTTTAGACACAGCTGACGAATATGTGGCAGCATTAGATGCTTATGTATCATTGATCAGATTCATCAGTCAGGACTTGGTGTCACAATCCCTCAAGTTTCAGAGCACAGGTGTTTTCCACCCCCGACACATCATCAGTTGTGCACCTCGACATCAGCGGGTGTTTCGGCCTTTATCACAAGACCCCCTCCGTTGAGGCGGGCCCACCACGTGCTGATCGACCTGGGTGTTGGCTCCTCCATGGTCACCTAGGGGTCCAGACGGGATCCTTTCTCTTCAGCCACAGCTGATGACTGCACCTCTCAGCTGTGTTGGACAGATCCTTCACCACTTTCCTCTGGGCCTGCCCATGAATCCTGATTTCCTTCAGGGGCCTAGTGGTGGATCTAGAGACGAAGCCTCTGCAGCCCGCCTCGATCGGTCGCACCTCAGCTTTCCAGCCTCTACTCGCCGCTTCAGTTACAAGATCAGCATAGAGCAATCTCGCGTTCAAACGCCTCCTGCGTGGCATCCTCCCAAGGGACAGTTAGATCTATGAGGAAGGCACGCTGACAGGCCTTCAACCGGAGGATCAGGTCTGGTCGTAAGTTGGTTGCTGCAGTCTCTGGTGGAACTATGAGACTCTGGCCCAAGTCAGCGTGTGTTTCCAGTCCCTGGCTCCATGTAGCAGGGCCTGAATCAGGAGGCAAGAGGATGAACATTGCAGGCTGTTGAAACTTACTCTGGGGTTTGAGAGGAATGGTGTTGGTGGTGAACCTCTCTGGCTCAAGCTCAGCTGCCAAGCACTTAAGAATCAGGTCATTTATATTATATTTAATATCGATTCTATATCATTTACATTTTCAGTGTTTTTGTTGCAGTTTTGCTTGTGGCTTGTTGGAAAAAAAAACAGACCAAATGCTGATTCTATCGTTGCAGATCATGAGCCGGTCAGGGCGCTCAGCGCCGTGCTGCATCCAGTGTGAACAGCCCAGTCAGAGTACACGGGCGCTAAAAGCAAGTGGGCAGCGTTTCACGGAAAATCGATGTGTTTCCAGTGTGAACCTGGCATTAGAGAAACAATCTGAGCGTGTTAGTGACAAAAACCAACACTTTGAGTAGATGTACATCGGTGGTGTGAACCTGACCCAGCGGTTACATTACAGCCTGTTTCAAAATAAAAACTGTTGTCCACATCAGTCACTGATGTGGACAACAGAGTCCAGGTTAAAAATCCATCAGTCAGCATGCTTGATGTTTTTCAGTCACGTCTGGAGCTTCAGAGCAGTAAACACGAGGAAAGCAGCCGTCCGTCCTGTGATCTCTGTGCTGATTAATAAGTTATCTTTTCTAACAAACTGCTGTGTCGACTCTCGTTACTGATCAGTGAAAGAATGACCTGTGATTAATAATTAAATCCTCTGACAATAAAGTTTCATTTTACAGAAAAGAGTTGGCTCAGTTTCTGTAACATCAGCAGGACAGTCGAGCGTTGCCTTCGTCGAGAGCCTCCCCATCAGAAACCTGCAGGTAACACACGGACAGGTTTCTCTCTCACAACACACACACCTGAAGACAAACATTGATTACAGTTCACAAAGACTCCAGCGCTGCAGATTGTGCTCTCTTTACATTTTAATGAAACGCAGATCATTTCACAGAGTGGAAGATCAATAATGAGCTCAGACAGAAAGATCGTTCACAACATCAGCTGTCAGTCACGTCAGAGCCAACAGAGAGCCTCTCTGGATCAATATCAGTGACGGGATCAGACTGATCAGTCCGGGATGAAGTTGGGGTCTGCTGAGGTTGAGCTGCAGGTTTTTAAAGTTTGATTTGAGCTGTTGACTCATTTTAATAATTCTCAACTTCCTTCATTTCTGCTCTTTCCTCAAAAACTTCATCTCTGAAACAACAGAGCCTGAGTGATAAATAATAATAGACTGTTGGAAACAATCACCTGCCGGATCTCTTAGTGTCTGTCTGAATGAGTCTGATCGGAGACATACGGAAGCTAGAAACAGCCATGTTTGCTATTTTCTAATTATCTCAAGATCACGAGGTATTTATGTCGTTATCTCATTATAAAGCTCGTTTTCTGGTCATAACAGGTTAGCACGTGTTGATTCTCAAAACTACAAAAACCCCATTTCTTAAGATAACGAGGTAATTTATCACAAGATGTGACTTTTGTTTCCTGTTGTTCGGAGGTGATCTTCTCGTGGTGAATGACTTCATTATCCTGAGATACCGGCTTTTTGTTTTCTCGAGAATTGACATAAACTAAAACTGAAAATGAGCTTTGTTGTCTCCTCTTAACAAAATACTTAACTTCTAATCTTGAGATGACGGCTTTGAAAAACATAATTGCAAGCATGGCTTCTCTCAGCCTCCGTATTAACAGTAAAAGTCAGCAGAAAATGTTTGAGGTCTTTTACAGTCACAGTGTCTCTTTTACAGAGTCCGTCCATGAGACAGCGAGAGTTCTGTAAAATGTCCTTAACACTACAAATCACCACTCTTTAAAGTCTGTGTACAGCAAAAATAAATATTTGTAATGAGTTTGTCACACAACAGAAAAATGTGTTATTAAGCTCCCCGCCTGATGTGATTGATTTAATAATCACCAAGTATATATCAGGGTTCAAAATTGTGAAAAAATGAGCAGCTCTGAGACGCTGGGGGCGTCGTCTGAAGGAGCAACAAAGATTCAGCCACTGCAAAGTGACGGACTCTTGTTAGGCTCGTAGCACATCAACATACGTAAACCCCGAACTGAAAAATGAGCCGCTACACAGCAGCAGACCTTTGTTAGGAGCTGAGCCGGTAGCACAGACTGGTAATGCAGCACAAACCCTCCGAACCAGGGAACGAGAGCCGCTGCGCTCGTTCAGCAGCTAACGTTAGCACAAAGCTCACACCCATAGCTGTGAGCAGGAACTGCCGGCGGGCCGGGTCGCTGATTCAGCCAGGAGGACTGAAAGGTCCATTAGTGACAGATGTTTAGCTGTGTTTCTGTAATAATAATAATGATAGTAATACATTTTATTTAAGGGTGCCTTTCTCACACTCAAAGATACCATATAATAAATTAAAAACTACAGAACAAACAGTGAAACCATAAGAAATACACAATATGACTTAAAAACAGATTAAAACTAAAATTAAAATTGAGATCGGACAGTGCAATTGAGATCATACGGAGAAAGCAATCTTAAACAGATGAGTTTTGAGTGTGGATTTAAAGAGTGAGTTCCAGAGCTGGGGAGCAGAGCGGCCGAAGGCTCTGCTCCCCATGGTGGTGAGACGGGTGGAGGGGACAGTCGGATGGATGGAGGAGGAAGATCTGAGGGTACGGGAGGGAGTGGCAACCTGGAGGAGATCGAACAGATACGAAGGGGCAAGGTTGTGGATGGCCTTCAATGTTATCAGGAGGATTTTGATTTTGGAGCTGCTGCAGGACAGGAGTAATGTGGTGGATGGAGGAGGTTCTGGTGATGATGCGGGCAGCTGAACTGTGGACCAGCTGAAGCTTATGGAGGGATTTGAGAGTGAGACCAAAGAGGAGGGAACTGCAGTAGTCTAAACAGGAAGTGACAAGGCTGTGAACAAGGATAGCAGTGGTATGGGGGCTGAGGGACAGGCAGAGGCGGTTGATGTTACGTAAGTGGAAGTATACAGACCGGGTTATGTTACTGATGTGTGACTGGAAAGATAAGGTACTGTCAAGGATGACACCCAGACTCTTAACCTGTGGGGAGGGGGAAACAGAGCAGTTATTGATAATAAGAGAAAAACTGTTGGTTTTGGATAGTATTGATTTTGTACTGATGAGGAGAACCTCAGTTTTATAACTGTTTAATTTGAGTAAATTTGAAGAGAACTAGGATTTTAATTCTGCCAAATCAGCGAGGGAGGAGGGTGGGAGGTTGGAAGTGGGTTTACTGGTGAGATAGAGCTGGGTGTCATCCGCGTGACGGTGGAAGTTGATGTTATATTTGCAGAAGATATTGCCAAGGGGAAGGAGGTAAATGATGAAGAGAAGGGGCCCCAGGACAGAGCCCTGGGGCACACCTGAAGGGACAGTGGAAGGCTGGGATGTGAAAGATTTTAGCTGAATGAACCAAGTGCAGCCTGAGAGGCGGGATTTAAACCAGTCTAGTGGAGTGTGGGTGATACTGATGGAGGCTAATCTATTGAGGAGGGTGGTGTGACAGATGGTGTCAAAGGCCACACTCAAGTCAAGGAGGATGAGAATAGTGAGCAGTCTAGAATCAGCTGCCATGAGGAGGTCGTTGGTGATTTTTATGAGTGCCTGTGCTATGGAGGGGGCGGAAACCAGACTGGAACTGTTCATACAGGTTGTTGTGATTTAAGTGGGAGTGATGTTGAGTAGCTATTGTTTTTCAAGAATTTTGGAGATTAAGGGTAAGTTAGAGGGAAGTTCAGAAAAGATGCTGGTGGATCTTATGGATTTTTTCTCTAAAGAAGGACATGAGGGAGTTACAGAGGGCAGTAGAGTACAGGTGAGATGGTCTTGGGTAAAATTCTTTAACAGTGAAAACAGTGACTTGGTGTTACCTTCATTAGAACAGATCATGGCAGAGTAGTTTGGTTTGAGCTATGCAGTCCTTGTAATGTAATATATGGTTTTTGCACGTCTTTGTGAATAGTTAGTCCAGCTCTGCTGTGGAGGTGCTCCAGTTGCCGGCCTTTATCTTTCATGAGCTGAAGTTCAGGCGTGAACCTGGGGGCAGAGAGGGGAAAGGAGACAGACCTGGTTTTTAATGGAGTGAGGGAGTTGAGAACATGGTGAAGTGAAACCAGCTCTTTGAGAGTGGTTGAATTGTGAGTGGTAGAGTGGCAGGTGGAACCGCAGCCGGAGAAGCTCAGCAGCTGAGTACTGAAGCAGACCCATCATGGGTTGGTAGATAAGTGAGAGGAGAGACCAGACAAGCACGGACCAGATATATACCCTGCCAGTCCACATTGTAGTTGAGGACCTGGGCAACTTGGACATCCAGGTGAGCCGGATAGGTAGGCTAATATTAGCCCGTAAATATCAACGGAGGAATGTCAGCTCAATAGTTCATTTGCTGGTCTTGCCAAAACAGAATACATCTCTCAGATGAGAACAATTGTTAAGTCCATTAGGTTGCAAGACCATAGAACAAGTTTAAAAGTTAAAAAGTTACCGGCGAGCAGCGGCAGCAGATCGCACCAGCTTTTACTCAACCGACAGACAACAGACACCACTGACACCAGTTAAGTGGCCTTGTACATGATTAAGGCGGCACAGCGGTGTGTTGTCACCTCACAGCAAGAGGGTTCCTGATTCGAACCCAGGGTGGGGGAGCCCCTCCGTGTGGAGCTTTCATGTTCTCCCTATGTCATCATGGGTTTTCTGTGAATGTGAATGGTTGTCTGTCTCTAAAGCCCCGTCTCCACCAAACCCTTTCAGTCCAGCACCTTTGGAACCAGCAGTAAGCCTTCAGACATGGTACCTAGACCCTCGGTTTGTTCAGACAGTCCTCTTAAATGTGGGCGGGGTTGTTGTCACTCACTGCTCCGTCCAGCACTCGCTGTATTTCCTCATCAGCGGTGACACAGATGGAAGTCTGCACCTGGTTTATCGTCCACAGAACGAGGCTGCACGCCCACATTTTCACAACAAAATAGAACAGGCTGCAGTGAGAGTCTCTCTCCATGGGATATTTAAAAATAGCAGCTTTGTGCATTTAGTCCTTCTCAGGCAAGCTCAGGGGTTTAGTGTTGCTGTAGCCCACAGGAAGTGAGGATTAGAATATATGACCTTCACATAATCCGCTCCAAATTCATCTATAATTAATTCTAATTAATCTATCTGTGTCAGTCCTGTGATGGTCTGGTGACCTGTTCAGGGTGAATCCTGCCCCTCGCACAATGTCAGCTGGGAGAGGCTCCAGCACCCCTGCGAGTGCTAACAAAATAAGTGGTTACAGAAAATGAATGAATGAATATTTATTCATGTATTTATTAGACTGTTATTTCATCAAAATGATTACAACCATTTGCTTCATGTGCTGAAGTTAAACATTTAATATTGGTTGATTATCGGATTTTTTTTAAGAGTCTTAAATATTGGGGCGTCGGTGGCTTAGTGGTAGAGCAGGCGCCCCATGTACAAGGCTGTTGCTGCAGCGGCCGGGGTTCGACTCCAGCCTGTGGTCCTCTGCTGCATGTCTCTCCCCCTTTCACACTTTGTTCTATCAATTAAAGGCTAAAAATACCAAAAGAAATCTTAAAAAAAAGTCTTAAATATTGATATTGGCGTCATTCAGTATCAGCTGGGCAAAGACTCTTACTCACCAGCTCAGTTTGTGAAATACGACAGAAAGGTTCTAAAACCTGCCAAATACTGAGGACCCTAAAATCATTGATACTTTTTCTGAGTTTTATTTTTTTGGTCTA